GGCCATTAAATGTGGTGGCCCCTAAGGCATGGACTTGGGTTTCCTTTTCTTGCCAATCTGTATGTTCTCCCTTGGTCCTCATATTCCCTTGTTTAAAATACCTACCAACCTACTGATGGCTACCAAACTGGGATCCAGTCAAGACTTTCTCCTGGACTTGAGAATCAGCCCCCAGCTGGCCATCTCCACTGGTGTATCCCACAGAGGGTGAAACACACCAGCGCTTGGTTGTGACTCATGACCCCACTGCCTCCACACCCCAAAGCCTGGCCCTGCCTGCAGCCCAGTGACCCAGCCAGTCACCTAAGTTCTTATGCAGTGGTAACTGTGACTCCTCCCTCCTTTTCTCTTCCCACACATAATCACCCAGCCTTGCCAATTTTACCTCCTATTTCTAACCTGTCTCTTTCTTTCTTCTGACCCCCATCATCTCTTATCTGCATCATTGCCAAAAGAGCTTCCCGGTCTCCTGCTTCTAGTCTCAGTCCATTCAAATCCATCTTTCAAATGCCTACATGTGGTCATTCTCACATAAATTTCTGTTTGTCACCATGCTTCCACTCCTTAACATCTTTCAGTAGTTCCTGATTGCTTGGAGTCAAATACCAAGTTCTTGGCCCAGCATAATAAGCAAGGCTCTCTGCAGTCAGGCTGCTGCCTCCCTAGCTAGCCTCATTTCTGTTTTAGACTCTACAACATAGAAGTGTAGAAAAGGTGCATATGCCACTCAGACCTTCATGACTGTTCCTGAAAACTTGCTTTCTGCTGTCCCTTACCTGCTCCCTCTAAAGTTCCACTCTACCCAGCGAACTCCTATCATTTCTGTAAGATTTACCTCCTCCAAGTAACCTGACCTCCTAAGTCATACCTACATCCTGTGTTTGGGGGCCGTTTTTCAATGTTGCAGGAATATTCTGCACAGTATTTATCATCTAAGTCATTATAAGTTGAGATTCTCATCTCAAAAAAAAAAGCGATATGTGTGTGTGTGTGTGCGTGTGTGTGTGTGTGTGTATACAATGAAATATTAGCCATAAAAATAAGGAAATCCTGCCATATGTGACAGAATGGATGAATCAGGATAATGGACAAATCTTGAGGACAATGTGCTAAGTGAAAGAAAGACAAATACTGCATAAAATAGTTAAACTCATAGAAGCAGAGAGCAGAATGGTGGTTGCCAGGGGCTGGCGAGAGGGGAAGTAGGGAGCTGCTGTTCGATGGGTATAAAGTTTCAGTTATGTAAGGTAAGTGCTAGAGATCTGCTGTACAACATCGTGCTTATAAATATAAAAATTTGTTAAGTGGGTAGATCTCATGTTACCTGTTCTTAATAAAAAAATTGAAAAACATGGACAGATCAGCAAAATATTAAGATAAGTCAGCCTGATATTAACCCATAACCTTAACACTCCCCCAGATCTCTTCTGCTTCTGCAGGTTAACTGGAAATCTTAGCAGTATTCTCATAGCTTTTCATGTTTTGTATCAGCTCTTTTATTTAACTCAAATATTCACCCAAAATAATTTAAGATTTTTTTTCACTTGCTTGTGACAGCAACCTGTTTCAAACTAGCTTAAACACAAAGGAAAATGTTTTCCCTTCATAAAGAGGAAGTCTACAGTAGTTCTAGCTTCCACATGGCTGGATCCAGACCTCTGATATTATCAGGACTCTCTCCATCTCTCAGCTCCCCTCAGCTTCATCATACACAAAGGATCTCTGCGTGTAGTAGGCAAAAAGCTGCAGGGAGCCCCAAACGCAGCTCAAGCTGACTTAGCTGTCACTGTTCATACGGGAATCTCAAGGACGGTCATGGGGTAGGGGGGACACTGTGAATGAGACCCGCCGGAGTCATGTAGAGAGGAGAAGGGGCGAAATTGCCCCTAAATAAATTAGGAAAGTATTTGGGAACTAATGCTGAGTTCATTAATGAGTTCAGTAATGCCGAGACAGAAGCTATAGCTATCACAGTCCAAACTCCAGTGCTCTCAGTTTGTGCTTTTTTAATATCGGCTATACTTTCACATTGGCATTATCACACAAATAACGTTTATTTCAAAGTAGTTCAGTCATCCAAGTATAAAAACACTTGGACCAATTTAACCAGACTGTATGGGATAGCACATACGAAATGTCTCTCTTTGAAATCATGGCCATTAAGGGGAAAAATAAAAATAAGCTATCTTTATATAGCATCCAGGGAGAGGAATCAGAACAAGGTAAGTCACCTGAGATAGCTCCTTGTGCTTTCAATTTCCATCCTCCAGCTAGATAAACAAGTACAAGAGTACAGGACAAACAAGTACAAGAGTACACTGAAACTGTTGCATCACTTTGCAGAAATAAAGCACCAAAAGGGATCTCCCAATACTCTTAACTCCTTACATTCCTTATTTTAAAGTTGGAGTCTAGGCCGGGCGTGGTGGCTCAGGCCTGTAATCCCAGCACTTTGGTAGGCTGAGGCGGGTGGATCACCTGAGGTTGGGAGTTCGAGACCAGCCTGTCCAACATGGAGAAACCCCGTCTCTACTAAAAATACAAAATTAGCTGGGCGTGGAGGCACATGCCTGTAATCCCAACTACTCGGGAGGCTGAGGCAGGAGAACTACTTGAACCTGGGAGGTGGAGGTTGTAGTGAGCCGAGATCACGCCACTGCACTCCAGCCTGGGCAACAAGAGCAAAACTCCATCTCAAAAAAATAAATAAAAATAAAGTTGGAATCTAAAACATGACCAACCAGTAGTTATCCACTCTACCTCTGTAGGTCCCCAACCCATGGAACATTCTTTTTTTTCTTTATATCTTAGCTCTTGAACAGTCAAGAACATCATGTAACACACTGACAAAGACATATCCAAGAAAAACTATTTCATGAGCACCTACTATATGATAGGCATTCTTCTGGATGCTAGAGACACAGCAGTGAACATATTTCCCACAAGAATTTAACTCTACCTCTACTAAGTAATAGCTATTGATTATCGAATATAGCCATGATTATAAACTGTTTTTTCCACTTTCCATATTGTGCAGACTATTCCTGCAACATTGAAAAATGGCCCCCAAACACAGGATGTAGGTATGACTTAGGAGGTCAGGTTACTCGGAGGAGGTAAATCTTACAGAAATGATAGGAGTTCGCTGGGTAGAGTGGAACTTTAGAGGGAGCAGGTAAGGGACAGCAGAAAGCAAGTTTTCAGGAACAGTCATGAAGGTCTGAGTGGCATATGCACCTTTTCTACATATCTATGTTGTAGAGTCTAAAACAGAGTGAAATAGTAATACTTCACTATTACTTTTTATTGACTTCAACTTAAACATTGTTCAACATAATTCTTCCATTATTTCCGAGGAATTTGTAACTCTGTCAAACCCTGTAACTCTGTAACTCCGTCCTATTTCTCGTGAAGTAGTATCCTTAAGGTTGGTCCTTTTTCATATGCGACTTTTTTTGAGACAGAGTTTTGCTCTTGTTGCCCACGCTGGAGTGCACTGGTACTATCTTGGCTCATTGCAACCTCCGCCTCCCAGATTCAAGCAATTCTCCTGCCTCGGCCTCCCAAGTAGCTGGGATTACAGGCATGCGCCACCATGCCCAGCTAATTTTGTATTTTTAGTAGAGACGGGGTTTCACCATGTTGGTCAGGCTGGTCTTAAACTCCTGACCTAAGGTGATCCACCTACCTCGGCCTCCTAAAGTGTTGGGATTACAGGCGTGAGTCACTGTGCCCGGCCTCATATGTGGCTTTCACTAGTAATTCAGTGATTATCCCCATCATGTTTCCCAGTGGGATATACAATTCCTTTCGAATGGTTAATTTTCTACAACTAAATACAACTAAATGGGCACTAAATGGGAGGATCACTTGAGCCCAGGAGGTGGAGGTTGCAGTGAGCAGATTGTGCCACTGCACTTGTCAGGGTGAATAAGTGAGACCCTGTCTCCAAAAAATAACAGAGAAAAAAGAAATAAAGTCAATTCAAATCCACAAATTACAATTTGACCCACAAGGACCACTATGTAGCTATAAAAATTCAAAGTACAGCCTGTTATTTCTTTTGCTGTCTTATTAATACTTAAAATATCTGCCATTTGTAAGATTATATATAGGTTTAGATGACTGGGTGAATATAAATATTTCTGAATTTTTGCCACGGCTTAGCAAAATTTATAAACCAATGCTCGTCATCACCCAGGTAAGCTAGAAAACCAAGATTGTTATTTTCTGCTTTCCCCAGGATGGTTCTTCATTATTTGCCACTATATTTGTCTAATTCCTTTGCATGTTCATTTAACACTGTTACTTTGCCCTGTAAGTAAATATCACAAAATAATTACCCTTAATATTTACTTCCAATTACTTTACAAATGTCTAGTATTAGGCTGGGCATGGTGGCTCATGCCTGTAATCCCAGCACTTTGGGAGGCCGAGGGGGGTGGATCACCTGAGGTCAGGAGTTCGAGACCAGCCTGACCAACATGGTGAAACCCCGTTTCTACTAAAAAATGCAAAAATTAGCTGGGCATGGTGGTGGGCGCCTGTAATCCTAGCTACTTGGGAGGCTGAGGCAGGAGAATAGCTTGAACCTGGGAGGCATAGGTTGCAGTGAGCTGAGATTGCACCACTGCACTCCAGCCTGGGCGACAGAGCAAGACTCCGTCTCAAAAAAATAAGTAAATAAAATAAACTCCAGTATTTTCCAATAGCAAAACTCACTATTTGGTCTCTCACATTAAATTAAATATACACATGGGACGCGCTCACATATTTACTCAGAACCTGCCATTCCATCCATCACCAGAGGTCCAGGAAAAGATAAGAAAGACAATATGCTCTGTAGTGCTGCTGAATACTAGTTTTTACTGAAGACCAGGCTTCACTTAATTAAAACTGTACTTTAGAAATACCTTAGTAGTTGAAGGGAGAGCAGGTATGTGGTTAAACAAAAGGTAAAGCAAGCTTCAATGTCTAAATAAAATGACAAAATGTGATACATGTTTAACAACAAAAAAACTTTATTGAATTACAAATTTTAAAATGGATCACTTAATTTAAAAGTGAGATTATTTTATTCTGAAACTCATTATTTCAAAAATGTACTTTATTTTTGAAATAAAACAAAATCTTCAACTATGAACTGACAAAATAGAGGTTGAGTTGGTACCGGTGGGCCAATTCTTAACTAGGACATTTAAAAATGCTGCTTTCTGTATTACAACAAAATGATATGCAATAAGAAATTGGAAAAAGGGAGCAAAGGAGAGTGCAAAGCATGTACTGAGGTCTTTCTATGCGTGCCTGACAGAATGCAGATTCAGCATAAAATGTAGACTTTGCAACAGTGGCCTTTAAAGTATGCTAGAGCAAGTATACCCTAGGGAACCTATGTGAAAACAATTTTTGTCTTACTCCAAACGAAAAAATGGTACACACTTTAACAAAAAGTAAAACTTAATTGTAAGATCTGTACTGTAAAGCTACTTGCTATAGCCCATATATTCAGTTTGTTCAACAATCTCACTCATTGACAGAAAAAGTCAGCAAATAAGACATGGGACAAAAATATTTTCTATCAATCTCCACATGAAAAGACCACAGCTTTAATGATTTATACAATCCTTAAGATTAATCCTTGGTCAGTATAGATTTCCGAATCAAAATCTAGTCATGAACTGTTTACAATAGCTATACTACACTAAGATGCTAAACATTTTCTTTTCAGTATGTCTTCCTAAGAGGGGAAAAAAATAGTGGGAAGTTTTCATCTTTGTCTATGAGGGGATTTATGAAAAGCCTTCTAAACTATAACAGTGTTCTTCTGCAAAACTAAAACACATTATAAAGTCAAACAGGTAAATTAATAGGAAAACCAAACTGATCTCAATAAAGTCTTGTTTCCAAAATCTATTAAGAACAAGTAATATACATGTACAAGAAATTACAAGAAATGATGATCACGGTTAGTTACAGATGCAAAATAATATCTAATATTCCAAGCTTGTGAACATAATAATTAAAATCAAATTCATAAGCTACCTCAAAATTATGTACACTTTAGATAAGCTGGTCAAGTATTATTTGAATACACACCATATTTGGTAAACCTAAAATTATATTACCTTTTCTCCTCCTTTAATATTTGCAGCTACATGCCAATATGAAAAAAAAAGTATTTTCATTTATGTATTAATAACAGAGAATAACAGAATTTCTACTGTGTATGTTTCACAGTGTAAAAGAAAAAAGTTAACATATATTTTCCTTTAAGAAAGAAAAAATATTGCCAAAAATTTAAGTGATATCAACTTACTTATAAAAATGGAAAAAATATGTTTTGAAACAGATACCATATAATTATTATATGGTCTCCCTACTGATCTGAAACTACAGAAGGCATTTAAAGGACGGGATGTTAGGTCAAAAACAAAGTCTAACCCAAGTTGCTTTAAAAATCTGATTTGCAGGAAAACTAGTTGCTTGGCCTAGTTTAAAGCTAATTACAAAATCCGTTTTCTTAATGGTCCAGATATTTTGCCAATTCTTCCAACTCAACAGAACTGTCAAAAAAGAAAAAATATTTTGTGAGACCTTTAAATACCAATAAGGTTCATTCCCCATTTAATACAGCATACACTTGACCCTGCTTTTAAAAAGGATGCATTTTTTAAAAAGATGCTGTATTTTTCACACATAATAATCACCTATCTTAAGTGCCTGACTTTCCCAGCTTAGAACTACTAGGAACATATAACTAAAGAACTTGTATAAAACAATTTCAGCATTTTTATTAAATGCCTCTTTATGTTTTTAAGGTTAAAAAAATTCCAAACTTGAACTTCTAAAATATGCCACCCTAGGCATCAGCTTTCTATCCTAAATTGAACTTTCTTAAATTCAATTAAGTACTATGTCAAAACTTGTGTCACAAACTGCATGTATTCAAAACAAACTGCATTGCACACCTCATCACCATAATAAAAATGATTCATCAGCCAGGCACAGTGGCTCACACCTGTAATCCCAGCACTTTGGGAGGCCGAGGTGGGCAGATCATGAGGTCAGGAGATCAAGACCATCCTGGCCAACATGGTGAAACCCTGTCTCTACTAAAACACAAAAAATTAGCCGGGCATGGTGGTGTGCACCTGTAGTCCCAGCTATTCGGGAGGCTGAGGCAGGGGAATCTCTTGAACCCGGGAGGTGGAGGTTGCAGTGAGCTGAGATCACGCCACTGCACTCTAGCCTGGAAAAAAAAAAAAAAAAAAAAAAAAGATCCATCATGCAAAACAAATCCAAGAGAACAGGCCAAATTTGCTCAACAGGATTGAAAAAGGTGAATGTCCCTCTCCTAGACCAATGACAACTTCTGCAACCTGAGATGGGTAGGAAATACTGTTTCAAACCATGAAGACACTTTCAATAGCAGTAATCTTTCCAGCTCAGAACTAAATCTTTGTACGTAATAAGGGTACTGGCCGGGCATGGTGGCTCACGCCTGTAATCCCAGCACTTTAGGAGGCCAAGGCAGGCAGATCACCTGAGGTCAGGAGTTCAAGAGCAGCCTGGCCAACGTGGCGAAACTCTGTCTCTACCAAAAATACAAAAATTAGCTCAGCGTGGTGGCACGTTCCTGTGATCCCAGCTACTTGGGAGGCTGAGGCAGGAGAATCGTTTGAACCTGGGAGGTGAAGGAATGAGTGAGCTGAGATAGCGCCACTGCACTCCAGCCTGGGCAACAGAGTGAGGCTCTATCTCAAAAAAATTAATGAATAAATAAAATAGGTACTGGCCCCAACTCCTTAAAGTGGAGGTGAAGAAGCCAAATGGATATCCTCAATATGGTTTGGGACTCTGGCCCAAAGGGCTTCTAGTTCACTTCTGATTTTCAGAAAATGCTTTAAGCTAAGTGAATAAATCAAAATGAGCATTAAACTGAAAAGTCTATGTAAGTATAAATGAAAAAAAAAAATCTTGTACAAACTTCAGAAAAACTAATAAAAATAGCCAGCATTTTTAGAACACCAACAATTATCAGGCACACTAAACATATTATTTCTACTCTTCATCACAATCCAAAATGTGGGTAGTATTTACATTTAATACATAAGAACAATATAGTTCAGTAATGGGAAGTGGCAAGGGAGTTCAAAATCAGTTTGCATGATTCCAAAGACTAAAAGACACATAAGCCTCCCAAACTCACACCCTTAACATCCCCATCTATAATAATAATTAAAATGTTTTTAGTACTGATGTGTATTTCTGCTCCCAAATTTAAATTTTATGCTTTTGTTTCACAAAATCACTCAAGAATGAATCATTTAAATAATATAAACTTGCCTGTGTGGGACTAATTTCAAGAGCACACAGGCAATATGAAGGCTTAGTGAAAAGTGTACAAAACGACAGCAGTGCTCATCTGTAATTTCTAAAATAAACACTGAAATCATTGGGTCTGATTTCAACAAGGGGAAAAAATTTTTCCAAAATCAAACTCTATTAAAATAAGTAATAAATACATAGAGATTTTCTGAAATACAAGAGTTAAAACTACTTAATGAATATAGTATAAATAGGTCGGTGATATAATAATTGAGCAGTTAAGATTCACTCCCCATTTCCTGTACCAAAACAAATAAAGGTGGTAAGGTCAAGTTAATACTCTTATTTCTAGTAGGGTAACAAGATAGTATATTCCATTACAAGTAGTCAGGGACTACAAGAGTACTGGATAGTGTGAGCATATCTGTATATATTTAGATATCTAGGCAGACCTATGAAAAGACCAGAAGAAATCATTCTATTATAAGTGAGTATAATATGAATCCAAGAGGGTCCATACCTTCCATCGATTTCCACATTCATTACAGACAACAAATGTTGTCATTGGTTCATCAGCACTACGGGTTTGTACCTGCAGCAAAATTAAATTAAATGTACTTTTTGCAGTACTATAAAAAAAACCCAACCCCAATAATGTTATACATAAATATATATAATATTTGATAAATATAATGGTACCACAATAAAATGAATAGAAGTCTGAAACAAGTTTAAATAAGCTAAATAATGTCAACAAAGCACACATTTCCAAACTTCATTTTCCTAAGTCCTTCTTTGTCTTTCCTGTTTAATATATGCTAGGTAAGTGGGAAAATCCTGTAAAGTCACACCTTATTTTTTAAATAAATAGCTAATAAATATTTTAAAAATTCACCAGTAAGTTATTTGGAATAAGGATCTCAAAAACAATTTCATCAGTGAGAAGCACAGAAATGAATAAATTTAAACATATGTCAATATTCTCTTACAAATTAACAAGATGTAAAAATTAAGAATATCTCAGTCTGACAAATACAACTGCAATAACCTTTCTAAAAGTTAGGCAGCATTCTCTGTAACCTAGAAACTTGATATCTAATCTATTTCTAAGATGGCAATTAAAAACACAAAAATACAAAGGATGTTTAAAGAATATAATTTTACAACAGCACAACACTAAAAACAAATATTCAACAGGGAAGTAATGACATAAAGTAAGAGTATATCCATCTGATTAAATATTACACAGCCAGTAAGACGCTTACAAAGGTTTTTGGTGTTTTTTTTTAAACAAGAGGGAGAGAACTCCAGATGTGTTTGGTTTCTTCAAGCATTTGTTCAGCAAGATTGAAAGTTAAAAATGGCACCAAACAAGAAATAATCAGTGACCAGCAATTTAAGCATATAGCAAAGGACCTGAGATTTTGGGAAATGACAGAAAAGAATCAAAAAATCAAAATTGGCCAGGCATGGTGGCTCACGTCTGTAATTCTAGCACTTTGGGAGGCTGAGGCAGGTGGATCACTTGAGGTCAGGAGTTCGAGACCAGCCTGGCCAACACAGTGAAACCCTGTCTCTACCAAAAATACAAAAATTAGCCGGGTGTGGTGGTGGGCACCTGATTACCCAGCTACTCGGGAGGCTGAGGCAGGAGAATAACTTGAACCAATGAGGCAGAGGCTGCAGTGAGCCGAGGTCACACCACTGCACTCCAGCCTAACGACAGAGCGAGATTCTATTTCAAAAAAAAAAAGTTCAAGTTGAACTATGCTGTGGATAAGAGGGCACCACATTAACCATAGCACTACAGACGACTTGAAACATTTTTATGACCTTTCAGATTCTGATTCCAATCTTTATGATGAAGATAGCAAGCAATGAATCAAAAGAAAATATAGAAGAAAAAACTGCAGACTAAAAAAGCAATAGATTCAAAAAAATCTAGTTGAGAAAAAGAAACCAAGAAAGCTAATCAAAAGGATTCTGAAAATAAAACTGATATAGACAATTCTGAAATAATTAAAAAAATGAAAACCATGTAAATCTAAGATAGCTCCCAACATAAGTCCAAAGAAGGACAGCAAAAAATTTACACAAAAAAGTACAAAAGAGAAAAAAAACATTATTCAACATACTCTCAACTCTTCTTTCAAAGAAAAATGAAGGACATTAGACTCAGGCACCTCTGCTGTGAACTCTCCCAAGATCACGTGTTCTAAGACAAGAAGATAAATGCAACCAGTGGTTCATCAGTGCCACAACAAGAGGCAGTGATGGTTATGAAAACTCAACAGACAGTAAAATGCTTGACAAAGATGCTCTGAAGAAAGACTTAGAAAGTGTTAGTAAAACACGAAGTGATGAGGAATCTAAAAATGAAATTACAAGTGTTGGGAGAGCTTCAGGTGATGATGACAATGGAAGTGGTGATGATGAAGATGAAGAGGAGGATGACGAGAATGGTGAGGATGATGATGAAAGTGACAGCAGCCCTAATCTTGCAAGGGGTAAAGGAAATATAGAAACTAGTTCTGCAAATGAAGATGATGTGGCAGATTTGTTTCCAGAAGAAGCTAGTTTTGGGCATGCTTGGAGAGAATCAGATAAACCTGCTCCTCATGCTGATGACATTACACGTCAATTAGCAGTTTGCAACATGGACTTGGATAGATTAAAGGCAAAAGATTTGCTGGCTCTGTTCAATTGATTTAAACCCAAAGGAAGTATTATATTTCCTGTAAAAATACATTCTTCAGAGTTTGGAAAGGAGAGGGTGAAGGAAGAGCAAGTCTGAGGACCAGTAGAGCTATTAAGTGTTTCTGAAGATGCCCCAGAAAAGGACTGGACCTCTACAGAAAAACTGAGAGATTATTAATTCAAATGACTGAAGTACTATTATGCAGTGGTAGACTGTGATTCTCCTGAAACAGCCAGTAAAATTTACGAGGATTGTGGTGCCCTGGAATTCGAAAGCAGTTGTTCTTTCACAGATCTAAGGTTTATACCAGTTGATACTACTTTTGATGATGAGCCCAAGGACGCGGACTCAGAGGTATATTTAACAGCATATAAACCAAAATATATCACATCTGCTGCAATGGGAACATCAATGGTGGAAATCACTTGGGATGAGACTGATCATGAAAGAATTACAACACTCAACAGGAAGTTTAAAAAGGAAGAGCTTTTGGACATGGATTTTCAAGACTACTTAGCTTCCTCTAGCAAAAAGGAAGAGGAGATAGAAGAGGAGCTACAAGGTGATGACCAAGTCAATGCAGAAGAAGATAGGAAAATAAAGAAAAGTCAGAAGGACGATGAAAAACAAATCACTAAATATAGGCAACTCTTGCAGGTTATTCAAGAAAAAGAAAAGAAAGACAAAGAAAATGATATGGAAATGGAAATGAAGTGGGTTCCAGGTCTTAAAGAAAGTGCAAAAAGATGGTCAAGAACAAATTGGAAGGAAAGGATAAACTGACACCTTAGGAACAATTTTTAGAGAAGAAGAAAGAGAAAAAAAGACAGAAAGAAAAAGAAGACTCTTGTTGAAGAGGCCAGTGAAAATTAACTTCCCTCTGATGTTGATACGAATGAGTGGTACTTTGCTAAAGAAGTTTAAAAAAATTGGTATAAAGAAACAAGTGGATAAAATCTGCAAAAGACGGCACATCTCCAGAAGAAGAAACTAAAATAGACAAAAGGCTGAAATGGCTTTCTTCATTGGATGAGGAGGAGGAAAGTTAGAAACACTTGAATTACAAGATTGTGGAGCATCAGAACCTGAACAAAAAGAAGAAAAAGCAGCTCATGAAAAAAAAGAAATTATTAGAGGATGACTTTGAGGTAAATGTTAGCAATGCACGGTTTCAGGCAATGTACACTTCCCACATGTTCAATTTGCATCCCTCAGATCCCAGTTTCAAGAAAACAAAAGCTATGGAAAAAGTCCTCGAGGAGAAAGCCCAGCAAAGAGAACGGAAAAAACAAGAACTCAGGCAATAAGGAAAAAAGAGGGCCGCGCACGGTGGCTCACGCCTATAATCCCAGCACTTCGGGAGGCCAAGGTGGGTAGATCACCTGAGGTGAGGAGTTTGAGACCAGCCTGGTCAACATGGTGAAACCCCGTCTCTACTGAAAATACAAGAAAATTAGTCAGGCATGGTGGCGGGCACCTGTAATCTCAGCTACTCGGGAGGCTGAGGCAGGAGAATCATTTGAATCAGGGAGGCAGAGGTTGCAGTGAAGTCCACTGATCCTGCCTTGTCAATGTTTATTAAATCTATAAAAACCAAAACAGAGCAGTTTCAAGCAAGAAAAAAAAAAAAAGTCAAATAACTAGATGTTATTTTTTTTTGAATTGAAAACATCTAAAATATACAGAAAGAGTAGCAGAAGCATTTACTGGGAACAAAGCTACCTTCAATAATATGAATAAAATCTTATTTTGAACACAGTAAAATTTTTCTTCATAAATAGTTGTTCTTAATTGTGGATGACAAATTTGTATTGTATATTCCTACAGATCAGTCATAATTAGATCAAATTACCTGAATTGTAGGGTTTATAAAATGTTTACATTTTATGAAGTTCAATTCTAACTAGTGGAAGGTTACTCTAGCTTTTGGTTTTTTTGGGGGGGAACGGGGGCCGGGAGGATGGAGTTTCATTCTTGTCACCCAGGCTGGACAGCAATGGCGTGATCTTGGCTCACTACAACCTCCACTTCCTGGGTTCAAGCAATTCTCCTGCCTCAGCCTCCTAAGTAGCTGGGATTACAGGCATGTGCCAACACGCCTGCCTAATTTTTTGTATTTTTAGTAGACATGGGGGTTTCACCATGTTGGCGAGGCTGGTCTCAAAATCCTGACCTCAGGTGATCCGCCTGTCTCAGCCTCCCAAAGCGTTGGGATTCCAGACTTGAGCCACCGCGCCTAGCCTACTCCAGCGTTTTAAAAGGCTGTTTACAATTCTATGTGAAAATAGAGCAGTATCTACTCTTAAGTTTGTTTAAAGGTTAGGGATAATTTGAAATATATATATATATAAAATACGTTAACTTCTCTCGGAGCGGGAGGCAGATTTAAATAGCTATTAAAATAATTTATTTTTCGCTGGCCGGGAGCGGTGGCTCACGCCTGTAATCCCAGCACTTTGGGAGACCGAGGCAGGTGGATCACAAGCTCAGGAGATCAAGACCATCCTGGTTAACACGGTGAAATCCTGTCTCTACAAAAAATGTAAAAAATTAGCTGGGTGCGGTGGCGGGCACCTGTAGTCCCAGCTACTTGGGAGGCTGAGGCAGGAGAATGGTGTGAACCTGAGAGACGGAGCTTGCAGTGAGCCGAGATCACGCCATGGCACTCCAACCTGGGTGACAGAGCAAGACTCCGTCTCAAAAAATAAAATAAAATAAAATAATAATAAATTATTTTTTTAGCCATAAAGGATGGAAGTCAAGAACTTTTTATCATGTTAAGTATAGTTTATGAAATTAATTTGTAAATAAAAAAGCAAAATATTTTTAATTTTTGTATAGCATTGATTTATTTCATTTTATACATCTCAAATAAACTATTATCTGGAAAATTTTTTAAAAAGAGGAAAATGCGGCCAGGCGCAGTGGCTCATGCCTGTAATCCCAGCACTTTGGGAGGCCGAGGCAGGTGGATCACGAGCTCAGGAGATCGAGACCATCCTGGCTAACATGGTGAAACCCTGTCCCTACAAAAAATGTAAAAAATTAACCAGGTGTGATGGCAGGCGCCTGTAGTCCCAGCTATTTGGGAGGCTGAAGCAGGGGAATGGTGTGAACCCGGGAGGCGGAGCTTGCAGTGAGCCGAGATCGTGCCACCACACTCCAACCTGGGTGACAGAGCAAGACTCCGTCTGAAAAAATAAAATAAAATAATAATAATAATTTATTTTTTTAGCCATAAAGGATGGAAGTCAAGAACTTTTTATCATGTTAAGTATAGTTTGTTTATGAAATTAATTTGTAAACAAAAGAGCAAAATATTTTTATTAATTTTTGTATAGCATTGATTTATTTCATTTTATACATCTCAAATAAACTATTATCTGGAAAACTTTTTTAAAAGAGGAAAATGCGGCCGGGCGCAGTGGCTCAGGCCTGTAATCCCAGCAATTTGGGAGACCGAGGCGGGTGGATCACAAGGTCAGGAGATCAAGACCACGGTGAAACCCCATCTCTACTAAAAATACAAAAAATTAGCCGGGCGTGGAGGCGGGCGCCTGTAGTCCCAGCTACTCAGGAGGCTGAGGCAGGAGAATGGCGTGACCCCAGGAGGCGGAGCTTGCAGTGAGCCGAGATCGCGCCACTGCACTCCAGCCTGGGGGACAGAGCCAGACTCCATCTCAAAAAAAAAAAAAAAAAAAAGAGGAAAATGCTTACATTATTATTATGGTAGCTAAATTAAAAGAAGAGCATAAAATAGTTTTTACAGTATTTAATTCCAACTATACATAGAAAAAAATTGAAAATGTGGTATGAACATACAGTGGAATATTATTCAGCCGTAAAAAGTAGGGAAAGTCTGACATATACCACAACACAGATAAATCTTGCAGATATTATGCTAAGTGAAATAGGCCAGTCACAATAAGACAAACATTCTATGATTCTACTTATATGAAGTACTTGGTATAGTCAAATTGTGAGAGACAGAGAGCAGAATGGTGGTTGTTGGGCTGGGGGAGAGGGGAATAGGGAGTTACTGTTTAATGGGTAAAGAGTTTCACTTTTGCAAGAGGAAAAGCATTCTGGGGACTGGATGTACAGCACTGTGAATGCTCTACTACTGAACAGTACACTTAACTGGTTAAGATGGGAAATTTTAGGTTTTTTATATATATAAATTATATAAATATATATAAATATTATATAATTTTATAATATATATTATATAAATATATATAAAATATATATATATTCTACCACAACTACTTTTGTTTAAACTTAAAAAGAGAACTCAGCAAGAAAAAAGCTAATATGATTTTTAAAAACTTAATCTATACAAGATTATAAATTTCTGAAGTTCTAAACTGAAGAGAATTACCAGAACCAAAGGTCTCAAAAACAGAAAGGTTATTTCTCTGAATGAAAATGACAAAGCATTATTAAAGTTAAATGCTATTCTTAAGCTTAAGTTGTGGCAAGAACCTAAATACTAACAATGCTGCATTTAGAATAAGGTTTATTGAAATTCCATATGAGATGATAAAATCCCAGTTTATCACCACTTCAAAGATCAAAGGTTCATGACACCAGTAAACTATTAACATGCCTTCCAACTCAAAGGCCCAAAGGAAGACAAAGCAGCACTATCCTCAGAACAGCAGCGTTCTGCTCACTTAAGGCCTTCAGATGAAATGGTTTGAAAACTCTGCTATACTTTCCATATACTTAATTCTGATATCCAGGGCCCCAAAAGTGGACATGAGGAATCTTTTGCTCTCTGGGAAAAATTTTAATCTCCTCTTGGGTCCACAGTAATCAAGAGTTACACTTATTTCTTTTACATCTGTTATTTCCATGAGAACTTTGAGAGTTCTCTCTATCTGAAGAGAACACTTTGTGATTCTAAGAAAATCATACTGGCTTCAACTTTAGGCTGGGTTCTTTCTGCTAAAAGAAACAAACTTGGTATTTACATTTTTTGTCTTAGCTATTTATAACTCGATTACGTAAGTATATTACTTCTACTGTTTACATTTTAAAGAAGCTTTAACTTTTAAATAACTTTCTATTTATACTTAATACTTTCTAATACATGGCATTTTTAGGGTACAATTTGTATTGTTAAGATATTTCTACCTGACTAAAAGAAAATAGAGCAATTCAAACTCAGAATTTTCTGAGACCACTTTTATCAGTGCTGATGCATTTTAGTAGCAATCAGTAGTAAAACTGCTACAAAATGAAACATGGAAATACACAACTGTGACTTAATGAGACTCAAACAGGTAAAGGACTTCGGACTGGTTAAATGAAGTATATCTGAAAATGGAGACTACATGTCTGTAAATAGTAGAAAAGAGGCAGAAGCTCATATAACATTCTACCATATGTGTTTAGAAAAAGGAAAACAAAGGCCGGGCGTGGTCACTCACACCTGTAATCCCAGCACTTTGGGAGGCCGAGGCGGGCGGATCACAAGGTCAGGAGATCGAGACCATCCTGGCTAACATGGTGAAACCCCGTCTCTACTAAAAATACAAAAAAATTAGCCTGGCCGGGCCTTGTGGTGGGCGCCTGTGGTCCCAGCTACTCGGGAGGCTGAGACAGGAGAATGGTGCGAACCCAGGAGGCAGAGTTTGCAGTGAGCAGAGATGGTGCCACTGCACTCCAGGCTGGGCAATAGAGCGAGACTCCGTCTCAAAAAAAAAAAAAGAAAAAGGAAAACAAAAATATTTTCATGTATACACATAAAATACCTAGAACGTTTCACAACGAACTAGTAACCTTGCTTTACTTCCAGGGAGGGAGAACAAGGCGGCCACAGGCAAAAGGGAAGGGAATTTTCTACTCATAACCTTCTGTACCTTTTGAATTTTTAACCACAAAAATAACTACCAACAAAATTTGTTTTACGGCCCCTTTAGAGTTTAGTGATGTTATTTTTAAAGTGCTTAATGTTCTATCAGTGAAAAAAATCAATTCCCCAAATCTACTGTCTGAAACAGATTTTCTAAATATTATCTCCCTTAAGGAGACAATCTTGAGCTTACAGCAGATGATATAGCACAAAAACCTATTTGGCAAATGAAATTAAGACAGTGATAAAAACAATTTTCTCATATGCACATGCAACCAAAATAACTATAGCATAGTTTTCAGTTGTTGAAGAATAAAAAGGCTAGTCATATCAGACATAAATGCAAGTTATCAATATTACAAAAAAGGAACAAATTATCCAGAAGCCAGTTAAGTCTAAAGTACCCATAAGCCATGTGGAGGAGAGTGAAGAACTTTCCTTATACAGTCCTGCAAAATAAAAAGGATTATGGCCAATTTACCTAGTAACTAATACAACTGCTTATGAACTTTTAAAAAAGAACAAGGTCATTTTATTAATTCCTATATTTTATAAATTTTATTTGACACAGTTTTCACAGTAGCTATTTCCATGACAGTATAGATATATCAAGTTGGTTTTAGTTAACTAGGATCAGTATTAAGAAAGCATTCTGGCCAGGCACAGAGGCTCAAGCCTGTATTCCCAGTACTTTGGGAGGCCGAGGTGAGAGGATCACTTGAGTCTGGAAATTTGGGATCAGCCTGGCCAACACAGCAAGACCCCATCTCCACACACAAAAAAATAATAATGTTTTTAAAAAAAATCACTCTCATACTTAAGAAAGAAATCTTATCTCCTCTTGAACTAGTCCCCAGTTACCCTTTCCATGGTTTTGCTTTCCATGGTTTCAGTTATCTGTGGTCTGAAAATATTAAATGAAAAATTCCAGAAATAAATAACTCATCAGTTTTAAACTGCACGTTGTTCTGAGTAGCATGAAGAGAGCCTGTACCATCCTACTCTGTCTCACTTGGACTATGGATCATCCCTTTGTCCAGTGTATGTCACTATAATGCTACCTACCCATTACCCATCCACATCATCAGGGCTCGATGAGGCAGGACCACCTGAAGCAGATGAGCCTCCTTCTGATGGATCATCAGAAGGTGAATAGCAGCCTAACACTTAAGTCACAATGCCTACATCATTCACTTTGCCTCATCTCATCAAATGAACAGGGGTGAGTACAGTGCAAGACACTGTGAGAGACAGAAAGACTACACTCATATTTCTTTCATAACAGTATCTTGTTATAATTATTCAATTTGATTAACAGTTATTATTGTTCATCTCTTCCTAGGCCTAATTTATAAATAAAACTTACCAGTACGTATGTATAGGAAAAAACACGGTACACATAGGGTTAGGTACTATCTGTGGTTTCAGGCATCCACCTGGGGTCTTAGAACATGTCCCTCCATGGTAAGTGAGGGACTACCATACTGGTAACTATCTTTGCTATTTATTTTAAAACAGGAGCTGCAAGCATTTTTATATAAAAATAAGAATCTAAAAACAATCACAAACCTGTGTGTAAGTGCAATTCTTCTTTTTACATTTGCCACATGTGAACAAGTCAGTCTGGGTCCCACCAGTCTTGGCCATCTGATGCTCTCTGATGGCTTCTTTGGTCAAGTTTTTCCGCATCTCTTTCAGCTCATCACTAGCCATTTCCTATTAGGTAGGGGGCAATACCACTCAGTTATAGACACCTTCTAATACATATCCTGAATGATATTTTGATCAATTAGCCTAATCATAATAATAAACCACATATCAACCTTTGAAGTTTTAAAAGCATTAAATTAATATTTTTCCTCCCAAGGCTTGTAAAAGTTTAATTCCTTTTAAAAATTTCTTCAAATACTTAAAAGTTTACATGTGAAAATTGGACTTAAGTACTGTTTAAAGGCTACTGAAACCACCTTTGCAAAGATTATGATAGTGAGAGAAATCGAACATGGCTGACTCCATCTTGCTTCTAGTGTCACAGGCTGGCTGTCTTCCCTCTTTCCTGGGCACAGGCCAAGCTAACCATGGGAGGAATTTATAGTTTAACTTTGATGCAAAGATGGTAACGGTCCTTCCCTAAAACCAATGCCTCTTCGTTCAGAGCCTGAGATCACCTTTGCAAGACTAATGAAAGGCCAGAGGATTAGGATTATGGGAGCGGCCTGAACTCTACTAAAATGTAGACATAGTTTCTATAATCCCTCACTGCTTAGGAGTCATGTGGCCAGAGGGCACAAAGTGTGTGACTTCCCCGATTGCTCCTACAGGTAACATTGTTATTGTAGAACCTGAGATTGGTTTTTTGAGATGTTTTTCAGACTGAGCCCTCCAGAACTCAGGCTCCTAACCCAGAGATACAGAAGGACCAGTTCCCACATCCCAGTGATTACATCCCCAACCAATCAGCAGCACTCATTCCCTAGTCATAGGAATAGTCTCCACCAACCTATCCTTGTAAAACCCTAACCTCCCAGTCTTCAGGGAGACTAATTTGAGTAATAACTTCGTCTTCTGCATGGCCAGTCTCGTGTTAATAAAACTCTTTCTTAACCGCAATAGTGCAGTCTCAGTGAACTGGTTTTGTGTGTGTAGTGGGCAGGAAGAAGCTGTTGTGATTACACTATGAACAATGTAAACCTACAACGAGTACCTCTAGTATCCAGATTATAGTCTTTAATACCATTGCCTACACCCCATCCCCAAAAGAAGTCAGGGATCTCTGGAGCAATGTCTGATTCCAGTTTTGAGGCAAGAAATGTACAGAATATGCCAGGGTCATCTTCTTGTGCCAGTTTTTACTAGCTAGTTTTACTAGCCAGTTTTTACTAGCTAGTCATACTTTGCTTTATCTTGCTCTGCGCTATTGTCCTTCATTTTACTGCACTTTGCAGTTACTGCATTTTTTACAAATTGAAGGTCTGCAGCAATGCTGTGTTGAGCAAGTCTATTGGTGCTATTTTTCCAAAAGCATGTGCTCGCTCCATGTCTCTGTGTCACATTTTGGTAATCCTCACAATATTCCAAGCATTTTCACTATTATTATATCTGTTAGGTGATCTGCGATGAGTAATTTCTCATGTTACTATCATTGTTTTGGGGGCACCACTAACTTTGACCACATAGACAGTAAACTCGACAAATGTTGTGCGTGTTCTGACTGCTCCACTCTTTCCCCGTCTCCCTTCCTCTCCCTGGGCCTCCCTACTCCCTGAGACACACCAATATTGAAATTAGGCCAATTAATAACCCTACAATGGCCTCTAAGTATTCAAGGACAAGGAAGAGTCAACATGTCTCTCGCTTTAAATCAAAACCTAGAAATAAGGCTACATTTAGTGAGGAAGGCATGTGGAAAGCTGGGATAAGCCAAAAGCTAGGACTCTTACATCAGTTAGCCAAGTTGTGAATGCAAAGAAAAATTTCTTGGAGGAAATTAAAAGTGCTACTCCAGTGAACACATGGATAATGATCAAAATAGCCTTACTGCTGATATGAAAACATTTTAGCGGCCTAGACAGAAGACCAAACCAGCCACAACATTCCCTTAAGCCAAAGCCTAATCCAGAATAAGGCCTTAACTCTTTAATGCTGAGAGAGAGAAGGAAGCTGCAGAAGAAAAGTCAAGAGGCTACCAGAAGCTGGTTCATGAGGTTTAAGGCAAGAAGCCGTCTCCATAACACAGTACAAAATGCAAAGTGAAGCAGCAAGTGCTGATGGAGAAGCTGTGGCAAGTTACCCAAAATACCTAGCTAAGATCATTGATGAAGGTAGCTATTCTAAACAACAGATCATCAATGTTGATGAATATTGGAAGAGAGTGACATCTAGGACTTTCACAGCTAAAGAGAAGAAGTCAATGCCTGGCTTCAATGCCTCAAAGGACTTTGAATGACTCTCTTATTAGCAGCTAAGGCATCTGGTGACTTCAAGCTGAAGCCAATGCTCATTTACCATTTAAAAAATCTTAGGGCCCTTAAGAATTATGCTACATCTATTCTGTGTTCTATAAATGAAACTACAAAGCCTGAATTACAGCACATCTATTTACAGCATGATTTACTGAATATTCTAACCCCACTATCGAGACCTACTGCTCAGAAAAAAGATTTCTTTCAAAATATTCCTACTCATTGACAATGCACGTAGTCATCAATATACCTAGTCATCCAATAGATCTGATGGAGACATCCAAGGAGATTAATGTTATTTTCATGCCTGCTAACAACAACATTCATTCTGCAGTTCATGGATCAGGAGTAATTCTGACTTACTTTTTTTTTTTGAGATAGGGTTTCACTCTGTCGCCCACACTGGAATGCAGTGGCGCAAACTCAGCTTACTGAAACCTCCACCTCTCAGCCTCAAGTGATCCTCCCAACTCAGCCTCCTGAAGTAGCTGGGATTACAGGAATGCACCACACCATGCCCAGCTAATTTTTCTTTTTTTTTTTTTTTTTTTGTAGAGATGGGAATTTGCTCTGTTGCCTAGGCTGGTCTCCACCTCCTGGGCTCAAGTGATCTGCCCATCTCGGCTTCCCAAACTGCTCAGATTACAGGTGTGAGCCACCATGCCCAACTGACTTTCAAGTTTTATTTATTTCAGAAATACTTTCTGTAAGGCTGCAGTTCCTACAAAAAGTAATTCCTCAGATAGATCTGAATAAAGTAAACTGAAAACCTTTTAGAAAGGATTAACCATCCTAGATGCCATTAGGAACATTAGTGATTCACTGAGAAGAGGTCAATATATCAACATTTAGAGGAGTTTGAAAAAAGTTGACTCCAATCATCATGGATGACTTTGAGGGCTTTGACTTCACTGAAGAAAGTAATCACAGAGGGGCCAGGTGCAGTGGCTCATGCTTGTAATCCCAGAACTTTAGAAGGCCGAGGCGGGTGGATGACCTGAGGTCAGGAGTTTGAGACCAGCCTGGCCAACATGGTGAAACCCTATCTCTACTAAAAATACAAAAATTAGCTCGGCATGGTGGCGGGAGCCTGTAATCCCAGTTAGGAGACTAAGGCAGGAGTATCGCTTGAACCCAGGAGGCAGAGGTTGCAGTGAGCAGAGATCACACCACTGCACTCCAGGCTGGGCGACAACAGTGAAACTCCGTCTCCCACCACCAAAAAAAAAAAAGTAACCACAGATGTAGTGGAGAAAGCATGGGAAGGAAAATTAGAAGTGGAGCTTCAAGATGTGACTGAGTTGCTTCAATCTCATAATAAAAGCTGAACAGATGAGATGCTTCTTGTGGATGAGCAAAAAGTGGTTTCTTGAGATGGAACCTATTCCTGGTGAAGATGCCGTGAACATTGTTGAAATGACAGCGAAGGATTTAGAATAGTACATCAACTTAGTTAATAAGGCGGCAGCAGCATGTGACAGCACTGACTCCAATTTTGAAAGAACATCTACTATGCATAAATGTTATTAAACAGCATCGCAAGCTACCAAGAAATATTTCATGAATATTTGCTCCATCAATGCAGCAAACCTCATTGTTGTCTTATTTTACAAAATTACCACAGTCACCTCAACCTTCAATAACCACTACCCTAATCAGTCAGCAGCCGTCAACATCCAGACAATTCCCTTTTCCACCAAAAATAGTACAACTTGCTGAAGACTCAGATGATCATGAGCAATTTTTAGCCAGGTGTACACTGTTTTCTTAGGTGTAATGCTATTGCACATTTAACAGATTATAGTATAAGCATAACTTTTATATGTACTGGAAAGTCAAACAATTAGTGTGACTCTTGTGTGTCACTTTATTGCAATATTCATTTTATTGCAGCAGTCCAATCCAAACTTGCAACATATCTGAGGTATGTTTGTGTACAGAAGAAAAATTCACTCTCTTGAATGTTTACTAAAACAGTGAAATTGTAGATACAATATAGCTAATATCTATGAACAACCATGTCTATAAATAGCAAGCTACAAATTTCATTTTTTCTATAATTCCCTATTAAAATTTAAGAAATAATCAATAGGATGGGCACAGTGGCTGAAGCCTGCAATCCTAGCACTCTGGGAGGCTGAAGCAGGAGAACTGCTTGAACCCGGGAGGCGGAGGTTGCAGTAGCCATTGTATCCCAGCCCGGGCAACAAGGCAAAATTCCATCTCAAATAAAAAAAAAAGGAAATAATCAATATGATGTAACCAATTTTATAGTGTTTAACCATGAAAAAAGGTTAGCACTTACAAAGTTTACTTGCAATTAGAGATTCAACTCTCTGGCTCTACATGAATTCATAAAAAGTAAAACAATTGGCAGCCAGCCGTGGTGGCTCACGCCTGTAATCTAGCACTTTGGGAGGCTGAGGCGGGCAGATCACCTGGAGGTCGGGAGTTCGAGACCAGCCTGACCAACATGAAGAAACCCCGTCTCTATGAAAAATAAAAAAATTAGCTGGGCGTGGTGGTGCACGCCTGTAATCCCATCCACTCGGGAGGCTGAGGCAGGAGAATCGCTTGAACCCAGGAGGCAGAGGTTGCGGTGAGCCAAGATCGTGCCATTGCACTCCAGCCTGGGCAACAAGAGCGAAACTCAGTCTCAAAGAAACAAAAAGTAAAACACGTTTGTTTTTAGACAATAATTTAACGTAATCACATTAAAAGCATGGAAACAGCTGGAGAAGGAGCAAAGTACTGACAAAAGATATAATCACCTTAAGTATTTGTCTAGTATATATCAGAATAACTAACAGAAATTTATTACATATGCAATATTTATATAGTAGTCTATGATGATAATAGGCTTTACACTTCACAACAGAGAATCACATTATAGAAACCTCAGATTCATACATACTCACCTCTGCTGTCATTCTAGCAAATAAGTCAGGAGGAATATTCCCACAGAGGACATTTTTCCTTAAATTTGGATTTTTTGCATCTTTAAGATTTGATATCCTACTTCGTACTCTATTTTTGTATTTCATGTCTGTATTCCTTATTTCTTGATATATAGGTACCAGGCCGTTAAGGAAAAAAGGTAAAATTATAAAAACAAGATCACTTTTTTTTCCTATTCTGCCAAAATAAGAATTCCTGAGGCTGGGCACAGTGGCTCATGCCTCTAATCCCAGAACTTTGGGAGGCCAAGGCTGGTGGATCACGAGGTCAGGAGATTGGTACCATCCTGGCTAACATGATGAAACCCCGTCTCTACTAAAAATACAAAAAAATTAGCTGGGCGTAGTGGCAGGTGCCTGCAGTCCCAGCTACTCAGGAGGTTGAGGCAGGACAATCACGTGACCGGGGAGGCAGAGGTTGCAGTGAGCTGAGATCAAGTCACTACATGCCAGCCTGGGCGACAGAGCGACACTCCGTCTTAAAAAAAAAAAAAAAAAAAACAAAAAAAACTCCTAAGCCTAGTCCAAAGTGCACAACAACTGTTTCCAGTTTCCAGTTTAGAGTATGTTAAAAACAAGGTAGTATATCTAATTCCTTGAACGGTAATTGGCAAATAATAGTGATACTACTTTTACACTGTAAACTAGTTGTTTGCTTGTTTGTTGTGAAGGCGGGCAGAAAGTCTCACTCTGTCACCCAGGCTGGACCTCAGCTCACTGCAACCTCCATCTCCCGGGTTCAAGCAATTCTCCTAGTAGCTGTGATTACAGGCGCCTGCCACCACACCCGGCTAATTTTTGTATTTTTAGTAGAGACAGGGTTTCACTATGTTGGCCAGGCTGGTCTCAAACTCCTGACCTCAGGTGATCCACCCATCTCGGCCTCTCAAAGTGCTGGGATTATAGGCGTGAGCCACCGCGCCCGGCCTAGTCATGTTTTATTTCCTAAATGTTTAGTGCCAGCAGTATGCAAGTCAACAGGGTTTCAAAAAGTAACTCAAGTACTCAACATGAGAAAGCATATGTTTGAAAAGGTGCTTGAACTTATTCAAGCTCTACTTGCCCAAATCTGAATTCTACTAAGGATCCTAAAAGTCTCTTTGGTTACACAGTTCCCGTAGGGTCTCTGAAAAGAGACCATTCAACATGGCCATGAGGGTTCATCTCCTCCCCCTGCTCAGCAGGAGCTACCTCTCAGCAGGCTCTTTTCCCCAGAAGAGGTCACTGCCAAAGCTGAACCCTGCAACAGCTCCCTTCCTAATAAGGCCATTTCCTCAACTAGGACAATCCCATGTTACACAGCCGCCTAGATGCTCCCTGCCCCTACCCACACACAGCATCCCTTTCCTGAAGCCCTTTCCCGGTGCTCAGCATGAACAGGCTTCCTCTGGGATAATGAGCTCAGGTGACTGTGTGTGCTCTGAGGTCCCCCTAACTGAGAAGTCTTAACATTTACATGTGTATGCTTTCCATGCCCTTTTGCACAACTTAAGTTCAGACACTATATTCTCAATTTACAAGGCAGAAAATTTTAAAACCCATCAATACTGTACTTTGCTTTTGAATAACAGGAAAAACAAGACAAATAAAATGATATAGATGTCCCTCTCCTTTCCAAGAAAACAATACAATTAAGACAAAAAGTGAAGAATAAGACTTTGAATTCTATACCAGCAGGAAAAATTAAGCTAGCAGATTTCTTAAAATAATTATGACCCCCCCCTGAAGTTGTGTGACACCGAGTGACTTGTCTGGCTGGTAGCAGAAGTAACAGATGTCACTCCTTGGCAGTAGTTTTGAAAGCCCGTATGCAATTTATCCCTTTTACCTTCTGCCACATCACCAGCTCACAATGGCCACTCCACCGGCCTCATCCTAGAGGACAATGACCCAAAGCCCAGGGTCCTCAGCTAGCCTGTGCTGAACATATAGGACAAATAAATTCCTATTTGTCCAGTTTAATCTGTGAAAGAAACCTTTGTGGTGTTAAGCCACTGAAATTTCAAGGTTGTTACCACAATATAACACAGCCTATCCTGCCAAGTACATGAAGTCAATCTTGGACACTAGTGTTTTGCTAGGAAAGAGAAATTCTTTAGGTTTTTGAATTGCCAATGAGTTACACCCAAGTTCTCATGTATTTTGTAATCTCTTCTAATTATGTTATCGGTTTGCCTTTCTCATTCTCAATCACATTTTTACTCTCCTGCTATCTGAATCAATTTTACCAGGGATTTATATACTTCAGTTTCCAAAGAGCCAGGTCCTTTCAAACTTCGCTGTTCTAGTTCATTCAGCTTCATCATGAAGGAAAAAGTCTAGCGTGGTGGTCAAGATCATGGGCTTGGAGACAAATTCCCTACACTGGAATCCCAGCCTTGTCAGTATCAGGCTGTGTGATCTAGAACAATGACCGATCCTCTTCTGCTTCTGTCTTCTCTCTGTAAAATAGGTTGAGAGCACCTAATTCACTGAAAGGACTACCGCAGGTAAAACCGTGCCTGGCACTTGTATATGTTCAATAAATATTACTTATTTAAAAAAATTATGAATATACACACAAAGGATATCTTCTTCAATTTGAGATCCTAATTCTTCCTCATCAGCTCCAATTGCAATGTAGTCATCTAAAAACAGGCATAAAGAATTGTCAAGTTATTGTTACAGATTAAAAGAAAATTCTAATACCAGGTAATTAAACTGCATACCTATTTCTTAAACCCCATTTGCCTGACATAAAGAAGCCGTTCAGTTTAGTTGGTTAGAATCTAGTCACTTCACTGCCAACTAGACTCCTTTTCTGGGCTTCACCTGATACCCACAGTGCTCCTGCACTGACGACTCCTGATCCCTCAGGCACAGGAAGTAACTGATCTAGCAGGCAATTCATCTTTCATAACTCCATAAATTCTGGCTGCTCCAGCAGAGAGTAAAGAAAGTTACAGAAAGAACTGTCTTCTCTCCTGTGACTCAGGCTTCAATGCAAAGAAACCATTCATTTAACCTGCCAATCACATATACAGACACACTCAGAAGGCTCCTATACGAATATTCAAAAGAAGGAAATAAACTAGGGAGAGAAAAAATATATATATACACATATATATATAAATAAAAATAAAGAGACAGTAAGGAAATCAAAGTAGAAAGGGCAGAGCAAGGAGAAATGCAGGTCAAAGTAGCCATGATGCGGAATGAGAGAAAAGAAAAAGGATGAATTCGTATAAAATGATAAATATTCCTGTATATAAAACTTTAAAGCCAAAATGTTACATGTTAATACTGGATACTTTCAAATTAAATTAAGCTCCCATACATAAATCAAGACTCATCCCTCTCTTAAGCAGAAAATGGAAAACGCTCATACTGTATGTCATACTATTTAACAATTCAGTATTGTTAACTCTCAACCTAAGATCAGCATACACAGTTTGCAGATTAAATTGTGGGGAAACAAAAGATTTGTGAGAAAAAAGTATACATTACTATGAATTCAGGGAAAACATCCATGTATTAGAGGGAATCTATTTCTTACAATTACATAGTAATAAGCAAATGCCCCAGTATTTCTCCCCCTCTCCCCCTTAATCCCCGAGCTAAGCAGCAGTGGGTGGGCTATCCACAGGGTGACACTCATCAAACAGTAATATGGAGTTGGAGATGGCAGTAGTTGGTGGTGGTGACCAAAGGGCTAAGAAATAACATGCGCTGGACTTACCCCCTGTTCGAAGAGCTGCCGCAAGCATCTCCCTACACTTCAACCGCACAGAATCAGAAGTGCTTGGTGCCCGAGGAAAGGATGAAACGTAAGTATCTCGAGCATTTGTCTCATCCTTTCTGTTGCTTACATTGCCGCTGGAAGTACTGAAATACGCACACAAAAACACCACAAAAAGAAATCAAGAACAATCCTCTCCAAGTAACAATATTACTATCATGCTGTAAAAACAAAATTTGGGGCCTAAATAAATGACACAGTATCTCAGTGACCTTTATATGAGGGGAAAAAAATTGCCTGCATACAGATTAAAAAGAAGTTAAAAAGTTTACAATTTAGTAAAGAGACAAGTATCGTGCCTTTTTTAAAAAACTAAACATTTTATCTTTGATTCTCATTTTAAATATTAAGCAATATTTTTAATAGAGAAAATACCCATTATAGTTCAGTAAAACAAATGAAAAGCAATGATCTTGGTATAAGGAGAGGGATGAAGGGATGGGACCAGAGAATGACAGCTTTCTCTTTTTTTTTTTTTTTGAGACGGAGTCTCGCTCTGTCGCCAGGCTGGAGTGCAGTGGTGCGATCTCAGCTCACTGCAAGCTCCACCTCCCAGGTTCACGCCATTCTCCTGCCTCAGCCTCCCGAGTAGCTGGGACTACAGGCGCCCGCCACCACGCCTGGCTAATTTTTTGTATTTTTAGTAGAGAGGGGGTTTCACCATGTTGGTCAGGCTGGTCTCGATCTCCTGACCTCGTGATCCACCCACTTCAGACTCCCAAAGTGCTGGGATTACAGGCGTGAGTCACTGCGCCCAGCCTTTTTTTTTTTTTTTTTTGAGACAAAGTCTTGCTCTGTTACCCAAGCTGGAGTGCAGTGGTGCCATCTCGACTCACTGCAAGCTCCGCCTCCCAGGATCACGCCAGAGAATGACAGCTTTCAACCAAAACTAGAGACAGAGAGAGAGAGACAGAGAGAGAGAGAGAGAGAGAGAGAATGCTAGAAAAACCCTGTTTCACAGGGCACGGTGGCTCACACCTGTAATCCCAGCACTTTGGGAGGCCAAGACAGGCAGATCACTTGAGGCCAGCAAATCCAGCCTGGGCAAAATGGTGAAACTCCATCTCTACTAAAAATATAAAAATTATCTGGGCATGGTGGTGCCCGCCTGTAATCCCAGCTACTTGGGAGGCTGAGGCAGGAGAATTGCTTGAACCCAGGAGGCAGAGGTTTCAGTGAGCCAAGACTGCACCACTGCACTCCAGCCTGGGTGACACAGCAAGACTCCAACTAAAAAAAAAAAAAGAGAGAGAAAAAGAAAAAGAAAAACCTTGTTCCACTTAGATAGTGAGGTCCCCAGTGAGACAAATACCATGTGTACTGATGAGTCGTGAGGCTACAAAATGGTGTGTTTCTCCCCAGAAACATCACCTCAGTATGAACATTTGGGAAGTTTTATAATTTTCCAGTCAACCTAATTCTTTCAATTGCTTCTGAGTAGCTTCTTACACTGGATTATCACTAAAATGGGTTCTTTCCAAAATAATCTTCGTGATTACAATTAAGCTTTATCGCATTTAAGACAGCTGCAGTAACCCTTTTCAAAGACTGATTAAATCACCCACCATCCATAGATGTGACTTGCTACAATGCTGCAAGAACATACTCCCTTGCCTTCTCTCCAAAACATAACCACTGTTAAACTTCACAAACAGGTGCCTGCGGGTAAGATGGTCATTAATACCTTCTAAATTTAGTCAGTTCCTTTTCGAAGCCTTCAGTGATTTCCCCCTGTATTCCCAAAATATTGATTCACACAGGTTTGTATACAATGACTTTTCAACATTTTTCTCTCTATCAGACTGAATTTCTCAAGAACAAAAACTAGGATTTACTTTTCTTTGTGTTTTCATTATGTAGCATAATGCCTGTCAGTGATAAACAAATGAGCAAACCAATGTTTAAAAACCCATTTCTTTTTCTTTTAAGACTCCAGCCTGAGCAACTGAGCAAGACTTTTCATAGTGGTGAACAGAGCAAGAGTTGTGCAGTGCTGCCATCATAGCTCAAGCAGCTTTGAACTCCCGGGTTTAAGCAATCCTCCTGCCTCAGCCTCCTGAGTAACTAGGACTACAGGTACATGCCACCATGCCCAGTTAATTTTAAAAATATTTTTTGGCCAGACAAGCTGGCTCATGCCTGTAATCCAAGCAGTTCAACAACAGCCTGGACAAAATAGTGAGACCCGGGGTTGCCAAACATGGTGGTATGCACCTGTGGTCCTAGCGACTTGGGAGGCTGAAGTGGTGGGCGGGCTTGAGACTGAAAAGTTGAGGCTGCAGAGAGCCTTGACTATGCCACTGCACTCTAGCCTGGGTAAAAGAGCAAGACTCTGTCTCCAAAAAACAAAAAACAGTCCAACAAACAAATAAACCTTTTGTTTTTGGTAGAGAAAGAGTCTATGTTCTCCAGGCTGGTCTCGAACTCCTGATCTCAAGTGATAATTCCGTCTTGGCCTCCTAAAGTGCATTAGCCACCGTGCCAGGCCCCAAAACCCATTTCTTTTCTTTTCTTTTTTGAGACAGAGTCTCATTCTGTCACCCAGACTGGAATGCAGTAAAACAATCATGGCTCACTGCAGCTATGACCCCCAAGCTCAGGCGGTTCTCCTGCCTCAGCCTCCCAAGTAGCTGGGACCACAGGCATGTGCCATCACACCTGTCTAATGTTTTTTATTACTTGTAGAGACAGGGTCTCCCTATGTTGCTCAGGCTGGTCTCAAACTCCTGGGCTCAAGTGATCCCCCACCTTGGCCTCCAAAAGTGCTGACATTACAGGTGTGAGCCACCACACCCAACCAAAAACCCACTTCTTAAACACTTTGATTAAATGCTTTTGCTTCTCTGTGTCTGCAGCCAAATGCTACGCAGGAACCAAGAACCAAGGGAAACTGCCCACACGGACTGAGAGAAACTTTTCCTCACTAGTTTCACTATTGCTGGTCCCAGTTCCTACATTCTGATACTTCTCAATCCTCTTGCATTTCTGTGTGTGTGTTGGGGGCGGGGGGGCCAGGGGGGCATGTGTAGATAGATACCAATCAGTTACTTTACCAGACTTCATATACAGTAATTTTCTTTTGCAGACAGGTTCTATACCTACACATCAAGCACGTAAAACTGATAAAAGACAACAAGAGGACGGGCACGGTGGCTCACGCCAGTAATTCCAGTAGTGTGAGAAGCCAAGGTGGGCGGATCACTTGAGGTCAGGAGTTTGAGACCAGCCTGGCCAACATGACGAAACCCCATCTTTATTAAAAGTACAAAAATTAGCTGGGTGTGGTGACGTGCACCTCTAATCCCAGCTACTCGGGAGGCTGAGACAGGAGAACTGCTTGAACCTGGGGGGTAGAGGTTGCAGTGAGCCAAGATTGTGCCACTGCATTCCAGCCTGGGCAACAGAGAGAGACTCCATCTCAAAAAAAAAAAACAAAAAACAAAAAAAAAAACAAGGCAGGGCGTGGTGGCTCACACCTGTAATCCTAGCACTTTGGGAGGCCAAGGCGGGAGGATCACCTGAGGTCAGGAGTTCGAGAACATGGAGAAACCCCGTCCCTACTAAAAATACAAAATTAGCCGGGCATCATGTACATGCCTGTAATCCCAGCTACTTGGGAGGCTGAGGCAGGAGAATCACTTGAATCCGGGAGGCAGAGGTTGCAGTGAGCCAAGATTGTGCCATTGGACTCCAGCCTGGGCAACAAGAGCAAAACTTCGTCTCAAAAAAAAAAACAAAATAGGCCGGGAGCAGTGGCTCAAGCCTATAATCCCAGCCTTTGGGAGGTCAGGCAGGCAGATCACGAGGTCCGGAGATCGAGACCATCCTGGCTAACACGGTGAAACCCCATCTCTACTAAAAAAACACACACACAAAAAAACTAGCCGGGCGTGGTGGCTGGCGCCTGTAATCCCAGCTACTCGAGAGGCTGAGGCAGGAGAATGATGTGGGCCCAGGAGGCGGAGCTTGCAGTGAGCCGAGATTGCGCCACTACACTCCAGCCTGGGCGACCGAGCAAGATTCCGTCTCAAAAAATAAAAATAAAAAAAATAATAATAATAATAAAATAAAATAATAAAAACAAAGACGAGAGACTGAGGAACTATCCCAGATTTAAGAAAACTAAACGGATATAATTTAGAAAAAATTGCATAAACTTTATTAACAACCACTGCTTAAGCCCACCTTTGACTTACCTCTTTTAATACAGTTAATATGTTTAATATATATATTTAATATAGTTAATACAAATACCAAAAACAGTGTACAAGACATTAACATAAACATGAGCAGTGCATGATCAATTTTGGGAAAATATTGAGAAACAAAGTTAAAATCGGCAGTAGCCTTAATGTCCTAAATACCTCAACACGGCTGGGCGCGGTTGCTTACGCCTATAATCCCAGCACTTTGGGAGGCCGAGGCAGGTGGATCACCTGTGGTTGAGAGTTCGAGACTAATTTCGCCAACATGGTGAAACGCCGTCTCTACTAAAAATATAAAAATTAGCCAGGTGTGGTGGCATACACCTATAATCCCAGCTACTCAGGAGGCTGAGGCAGGAGAATCATTTGAATTTGGGAGGTGGAGATTTCAGTGAGTCGAGATCATGCCATTGCAGCCTGGGTGACAGAGGAAGACTCTGTCTCAAAAATAAAAAATAAAAAAGGCCAGGCACGGTGGCTCACGCCTGTAATCCCAGCAATTTGGGACACTGAGGAGAGTGGATCACCTGAGATCGGGAGTTCAAGACCAGCCTAGCCAACATGGCAAAACCCCATCTCTACTAAAAACACAAAAATTAGCCAGGTGTGGTGGGCGCCCGTAATCCCAGCTACTTGGGAAGCTGAGGCAGGAGAATTGCTTTGAACCCGTGAGGTGGAGGTTGCAGTGAGCCGAGAGCATACCGCTGCACTCCAGCGTGGGTGGCAGAGCGAGACTCTGTCTCAAAAAGGTATGTGGCCCCTCCCCACCAGAATTCCTGATTCAGTAGTTACCGGATGAGGCCTGAGAATCTGTATTTCTAACAAGCTGTCAGGTTCTCTCCTCTTCCAGGGACCGTACTTTCGAGAACCATTGCTTTAAATCAGTGTTGACAGTTAACCTACCAGGTTCCCAAGAACAGAGGAACGATTTGTATTTAACCAACTATGCGTATGGCAACATGTCCAATACTGCATAGTTCATGATATGTAATAGGAAAGAACACATGCAAAGGCCTCATAGGAGGTGAGGGACAATCTGAACTCTTCGTTAACGAACTTCACATTTTAAGTTCTTATAAAAAATTGCTATTTTTTTTTTTTTAAATTTAAGGTCTCACTCCATTGCTCAGGCTGGAGTGCAGTGGCATGATCTTGGCTCACTGCAACCTCTGCCTCCTGGGTTCCAGCAATTCTCCCACCTCAGCCTCCCAAGTAACTGGGACTACAGACACATGCTGCCATACCTGGCTAATTTTTTTTTTTTTTGGTAGAGAAAAGGTTTCACCATGTTGGCCAGGTTGGTCTCAAACTCCTAACCTCAAGTGATCCTCCCACCTCAGCTTCCCAAAGTGCTAGGATTACAGGTGTGAGCCACCGTGCCTGGCCACAAATTGCTAAATTCGAAAGGAAGAAAAAAAGCATGCAAAGGAGAATGAGATCAAAATGAGGGCCAAAATAAATCTAAAAAAGAAATGTGGTAAATAGAGGAAGTAATCATTTGAATCTCTAATTACTACCTCTATTATCAATTTTATCAGTGCCTACCCCAGCAATCCCATTCAATTAAACTTGTTAAGTACAATATAAGTAACTACTTATTTATTCAATGTCTTCTACCTCTCAAATGTTCAAGAAATCTGAAAAAAAATTAGAATACTTGGCTACATACATTTACTAATTCCATTTGATTAGAAAACAAAAAAAGGAGTGTAGAAGGGGAACATTAGACGGGGGGAATTGATGCAGGAAGTAAAACTATGACTTTCAATATAAATAAATGTCTATACTGTGAAGTACCTTTCTTCTCTTGCTTCAGGGCTGTTCTGAGATGTAATTGCAGGTTCTTTTTTCTTTTCGTCAAGGTCTTTCTCAGTTGATGGCCCATCTGAAAATTATGAAATCTCTTAAGTTGCTAGCATTTGTAAAAACTAAAATACTGCATGTTAACAGGCTATTTGCACAACAACATGAACTAAAACCCTAAGTTTCCTACAAGTAGATGAAGTTTGATTAAGCTATTAGCATATGTACTGTTTTTCACAATGCAAGTTCAGTCAACACTTCCAAATAAATTCCCTCATTTGGTGGGAACTACAAGTTCATATGCCATGGGAACCTAAAGGGAGGAAAGTATATGGAACAAAGAGGTGGGAAGAATATGGAAATATCTGCACTGCTACTTTAAAAAATGAAAGCACAGGCCAGTGAAGTGGCTCACGCCTGTAATTCCAGCACTTTGGGAGGCTGTGGATCACTTGAGCTCATGAGTCTGAGACCAGCCTGGGCAACATGATGAAACTCTGTCTCTACAAAAAATACAAAAATTAGCTGGGCTTGGTGGTGCACACCTGTAGTCCCAGCTACTCAGGAGGCTGAGGTGCGAGGATGGCTTTTGCCTAGCAGGTGGGGGCTGCAATGAGGCAAGATCACGCCACTGCATGCCAACCTGGGCGATAGAGCCAGAACTTGTCTCAAAATAAAGCCAAATAAAATAAAAATAAAAGCATAAAGCATACACAGCAATATTGTTTTAATAAATTTCCATAAAGTTGGAAAATTTAAGGTGGTATCCAAAATATAAATATTTCTGGTATGGGTAAACAAAAAACACTTTCATAGAAAATACCTCAGGATGAGTAAGACCTACCCAGCACCTTCTCTATCTTAAATGATCTATAAAGTAATACAGAATGCACAAGTTTTAAGACCTAAAGAGGTGGCTGGGCATGGTGGCTCATGCCTGTAATCCTAGCACGTTGGGAGGCCACAGCAGACAGATCACGAGGTCAGGAGATTGAGATCATCCTGGTTAACATGGTGAAACCCCGCCTCTACTAAAAAAATACAAAAACTTAGCCAGGCGTGGTGGCACACACCAGTAGTCCCAGCCACTCAGGAGGCTGAGGCAGGAGAATCGCTTGAACCTGGGAGGTGGAGGTTGCAGTGAGCCGAGATCGTGCCACTGTACTCCAGCCTGGGCGACAGAGAGAAACTCTGTCTCAAAAAAAAAAAAAAAAAAAAAAAGGTAAGTAATGAGATATTATGAAATAATGTACATAAAATAGGTTGAGTCAGTGCAATACTTTAACAGCCAAAAGAAACATTCACTTTTAAATCAATCAACACAGCCTTAAATTTTAAAACTGGTACCTGCCTGGGGTCGGATGTGGTGGCTCACACCTGTAAACCCAACACTTTGGGAGGCTGAGGCAGGTGGATTACTTGAGATCAGGAGTTCGAGACCAGTCTAGCCAATATGGTGAAACCCTGTCTCTACTAAAAATACAAAAATCAACTGGGCATGGTGGTGCAGACCTGCAATCCCAGCTGAGGCTGAGGCTGGAGAATCATTTGAACCTGGGAGGAGGAAGTTGCAGCGAGCCAATATTGTGCCACTGCACTCCAGCCTGGGCGACAGAGTGAGACTCTGTCTCAAAAAAAAAAAAAAAAAATCGGTGCATGCCTGTAGTCCCAGCCACTCAGGAAGCTCAGGCAGGAGGAACGTTTGAGCCCAGGAATTTGAGGCTGCAAGGAGCTATAACTGCACCACTGCACACCAGCCTGGATGACAGAGTGATACCCTGTCTCAAAAAAACAAAACAAAAACAAAACACACAGCCTTGAAGCTAAGTTCAGAAAACGTTTGGGTCTACCGTATAAAGTACACCAGTTAACTACGTTTTACTCACTACATAAGCAATAAAGGCTACATAAATAATTTTTTTCAATTCTTCACATGTCTCTGTATAGAATATAGAAGAAACTATATCCAACTGGATAGCAGGATCACCTAGGGAGCCTTTAAACATATCCTCATGCCAAGCTCCAAACCAGATCCATTCAATCCAAATCTCTGGCAGTGAGGCGCAAGCATCATTATTTTTTAAAGTTCCTTAGACAGCTCTAATATATAGTTATCTGGATGAGAATCACTGATAAGAGAAAGGTTCAAATCACAACTGGAGAACTCATCTTGTAAAGCTGAAGTCTGTCAAACCTAAAATACAATTCAAGCCCTCTGATAAAACGTGCACATACACTTTAGTTTTCACATAATTTTGCTGCTCCTTGTTATTCTCAATAGTTACCTTGAAAACTCAAAGAGGCTATAGTATTGTAACCCTGAAAACAGAAGTAATAATGACACATGGCAAGGACTAACAAATGGTCCAAAAGTAATAGGGTAGAAAGCATTTAAAAGGGAAAACTGATGTAACAATGAAATATGATCCAGCAAGGATCCAATGCTGCCAAAGGGACACAGAACTACCTCACACACTGCTCTGGCACAGTGAATTAGTACAATCCTTTTGGAAAGCACAGCAGTAAGAGGCATGAACAGCCTCAGAAGCATCCCTACTATCTGATATGGTGTTGTGGGCAACATAGCTCAGCTAGCAGGGAAGGAAGTGCTCCAGCTCTGGACTCCAGCTGTCTGCAATCAAGTCCCAGCTTGGCTATTCACCACCGATTCAACTGTGTGCTAGGTATTTAACTGCTCAATGCCTCAGATTCCTCATCATAAAATGGAGATTATATTGGCACCTACCAAATTGGATTGTTTTGAGGATTAAATGCATTAATACAGGTCAATGCTTGACATATCTTAAGTATTCAAAAATGTGCTACCTAGTAGCAGTAGTAGTAAATGTAGAAATCTAGCTAACAATGTAAAGAAAAAGCTTTAGGCAGAAAGATGTCCATCAAGATATTAGTTACAACCGCCACAAAGTTAAAAACAATAACAAATCTAACAACGGGCAAGTGATCAACTAAAATAGTATAGTCAACTGAATAAATTATTCTGAAACCAATAAAAATAGTACTTATGATAGAAAAACAAAGTATTTTCATTAAAAAAGGTAATATAAATTAAGTACCCACACAGCATAGGCAAAATTATAGTAGCGGTAAAATTTATGCAAATTAAATTTGAACAGTAATGTATTACAATCCATTGTACAGAAAAGGAACCTGCAAGTCTACACTAACAGATAAATAGCTAAGGGATATAAAGAAGGTTGTTGTTTTTTTTTTTTTTTTTTTTTTTTGAGATGGAGTCTCACTCTGTTGCCCGGGCTGGAGTGCAGCGGTGTGATCTTGGCTCAGTGTAAGCTCTGCCTCCTGGGTTCACACCATTCTCCTGCCTCAGCCTCGAGAGTAGCTGGGACTACAGGTGCTCACCACCACACTCGGCTAATTTTTCTGTATTTTTTTAGTAGAGACAGGGTTTCACCGTGTTAGCCAGGGTGGTCTCGATCTCCTGACCTCGCGATCCGCCCGCCTCAGACTCCCAAAGTGCTAAGATTACAGGCATGAGCCACCGTGCCTGTCCAGAAGGTTTTTCTTCTAAAGAATGATGATTTTATAAGTACTGATCCTAAATTGGGAGGGGAAGAGAAAGATCTGTTAAGGTGTAAGACAGTTTCAGGATCTTAAAAGTGTCTCCCACAGAATGGCTATTAGCTACAAGAGGAAAAACAATACACTATACAGTGTAGCTTTGACTGGATTCTCAAAATTACCATCAATGACTCTGGATATGATACCTGGAGAAGGACATAACATGCTTACATAGTATTCCAACTGTGAATGTACAACCTGATCTAATCATCAGAAAAAAGCAGGTACACCTCAAATATGGAATATGCTATTAAAAACAAAGGATGGGCCAAGTGCGATGGCTCACGCCTATAAATCTAACACTTTGGGAGGCCAAGGCATGTTGGATCGCTTGAACCCAAGAGTCCAAGACCAGTCTGGGCAACATAGTGAGACTCTGTCTCAAATAAATAAATAAATAAATAACAAAGGAGGGCAGTGGCAGATGCCTACAGTTCCAGCTACTCAGGAATCTGAAGTGGAGGACTGCTTGAACCCAGGAGCTGGAGGTTAGCCTAGGCAACATAGCAAGACCCTTATCTCGACACAAAACAAAAAAAGTGGTGGGGAAGGGGGGGAATAGGGGAATAAACCTGCTTCAAGGATCCAACTTAAAAACATGGGAAATTCTACCTTGCATATATTTCCTACTTTACTTTTAAACCAAAATCCAATTCTACTTTGCATTCATTACAACCGGTCATTTTCTGCATATTGTATAACATATCCAAGTTCCATTTTTTAAGCTCATTATGAATTTGATAAAAATCTCACTTTGCATAATTTGATAAAACACTCACTTTGCATGAAAGTATTTTAAAATACACATTAGTGATAGTTACATGAATGTATACATAGGATAAAATTGCTCAGAAGGACACATGCCCCCACACATACACTAGTGCCAGTAAAAACTGATGAAATCTGAATGAGGTCTGTAGATTGTATCAATGTCAATTTCCTGGTTGAGATTCTGTATATGAGAGTTATGCAATATTACCACAGAAGGAAGCTGGATAAAGGGTACATGAGATCTTTCCATACTTATTTTTTTTGGTAATTTTCTGTGAGTCACTTATTATGTCAAAATAAAAAGTTAAACTCCACATGTTCAGGAGGCATACATACTTTCTTCTATAGGAAATGACCTTGCTTCTTTTATCCCTACTTGAGGCAGGGGACCAGGAATGAGGGGGAAGGGGCAGGGTATATACACACACATACATAAAATTTTAAAGCATGGCCCACAAGTAATTTTTTTTATTGGGTTTGTGCAATTAACGTGAAAGACAAAATTGCATTTAATTTTCTTTCCTTTCAAATTTACTTTTAGGAAATATATCAACAAAAAATTGACAACTCCAAAATAAGATTTAAGGGGAGGGAATTCGTATTTGTTGGGCTAGGACCCTATGTACATTTCTTACAGAGGTGATAATTGATAGTGAAATATCACAGACCAAAAACAAACAAAAAGTAAAATCATGAACCCAAGTAAACAGGTTGGTCTTCAAATGAGAAAGGAACATTTCTGCCTTGGGGGAAAAACAAAGGAGAAGGGGTACTTGTATTCTTCAAAATGTCAATTTCATAAAAGATAAAGAAAAGCTTAAGAATGATTTCAAATTAGAAAACTAGCTATGTGAGGCCAGACTCGGTGGCTCACGCCTGTAATCCCAGCGCTTTGGGAGGCTGAGGCAGGCAGATCACGAGGTCAAGTGATTGAGACCATCCTGGCTAACACGGTGAAATCCCATCTCTACTAAAAATACAAAAAATTAGCCGGGCGTGGTGGTGGGCACCTGCAGTCCCAGCTACTTGGGAGGCTGAGACAGAAGTATGGCATGAACCCGGGAGGCGGAGGTTGCAGTAAGCCAAGATCACGCCACTGCACTCCAGCCTGGGCAACAGAGTGAGACTCCAACTCAAAAAAAAAAAAAAAAAAAGAAAACTAGCTATGTGATCCTGAACTGGATCTTTTCCTGGAGGTGAAAAGAAAAAAAAAAAAAACTATAAAAAACATTATTGGGACAACTGACAAACCTGAACATAAACCACAAAATACTATACCAATGTTAAATTTCCTAAATTTCTTTCTTTTTTTTTTTTTTTTTGAGACGGAGTCTCGCTCTGTCACCCAGGCTGGAGTGCAGTGGCCGGATCTCAGCTCACTGCAAGCTCCGCCTCCCGGGTTTAGGCCATTCTGCCTCAGCCTCCCAAGTAGCTGGGACTACAGGCGCCCACCACCTCGCCCGGCTAGTTTTTGCTTTTTTGTTTGTTTGTTTGTTTTTTTTGTATTTTTTAGTAGAGACGGGGTTTCACCGTGTTAGCCAGGATGGTCTCGATCTCCTGACCTCGTGATCCGCCCGTCTCGGCCTCCCAAAGTGCTGGGATTACAGGTTTGAGCCACCACGCCCGGCCCTAAATTTCTTATACTATGATTCCATAAAAAAATAAGCTTGTAGTAAGGAAATATACACAAGTATTTAAAGGGTAAAAGAGCATGATATATTCAACCTACTTTCAAATGGTTCAGAAAAAAATAATTTGTGTATGTGCAAATAGAGAAAGCAAAAGAGAGAATATGATAAAACAAATATGGCAAATATTAAAAATTGATGATATGGATGAAGGATACAGCATTCTTTCTATCATCCTTGCAAGTTTTCTGTAAGTCAAAAAATTTCAAAAACCATTTCAGAAGGTATCCACAACCTTTCCCATAAGAGAAAATTCTTCTTACTGAAAGAGTTTATCCAGCTGTGTCAAAAGTTAAGAAAGCCAAATTTGACTAGCCTAAAAGGCAAAAAAAAAAAAAAAAAAGCCCTAAAGGTCAAATTAACTCCCCTCGCCTTTATTACGAGGCACTGATTTCAGTATATTTAGATTCATTAAGAAAAAAAATGTAACCATTAACTAACCGTAAAATGTTAATGGTTAATGGTTATTAACCGTTTGAATAAATCTCAACATCAAAAATATACGTAAGGGAAGATCAATGATACCTAATAATTTTTTCCAGGATTTGATGAGAGACTTTGCCAAAGATGTAACTTCTTCGTCTGTACTCTGCTTGCGAATAGCATTAACTGACATGCCGATTCTTGTGGACTGCAAGGCAATAACAAAAAAATTATGTATACCAATTTTATTTTAAACAAACTAGTATTTCACACACATTCTTTTCTTTCCCAGATTCCTGTTTCCATTCTAGAATTTTAAAACTTCAATTATTTGGATCCTTATAATAGCAAACTATATTAAGATACATACATCTTCAGATCAAGTAAGTCCTAGACTCATTAATGTTCTTATCACCAAGATCTAAAAGCATAAAATTTGCTACTGTAATAAGTCTGGTTAACTAGAAAAATGAAATCAATCTTTCCACAAGGGAGAAGTGAAGATAAATGAGGATAAAATATAAAATGTTGTATGTAAGTCAGGCTGAAGCAATCATGACTAATACACGCATTTCTTTGTTTCTACACATTCTTCTACATGGATTACTTCACAGAGCACCAGCTGCAAATGATTATGAGGATATCCAAACTAAAACTACCACCTATGGAGGTTTATTCTATTTATTTATTTATTTTTTGGGGGGGAATGGAGTCTTGCTCTGTTGCCCAGGCTGGAGTATAGTGGCGTGATGTTGGCTCACTGCAAGCTCTGCCTCCCAGGTTTACACCATTCTCCTGCCTCAGCCTCCCAAGTAGCTGGGACTACAGGCACCAGCCACCATGCCCAGCTAATTTTTTGTATTTTTAGTAGAGACAGGGTTTCACCGTGTTAGCCAGGATGGTCTCGATCTCCTGACCTCGTGATCCACCTGCCTTGGCCTC